CAAAAATTGTCCAAAAGGACTTAAAATTACTAATTTAAAGGACGTAAAATGCTTTGAAACTTGTTCAAAATTACTCAAAAATTGTCCAGAAGGACTCAAAATTGCAAAACATGTCTCAAAACTTCAAGTTAAATGAGTTGAAAACTGTCTAAAATCACCTAAACGTCTCCAAGCTGGTTTAAAATTTAGTTAGTTTTAATTATTATTAAGATTATTAGTTTAAAAATGTCGTAAAATGTTTTGAACTTGTTCAAAATAACTCAAAATTGCCCTTAATGACCTAAAACGTGTCCAAAAAGAGTAAAAACTGAAATGCTCTGAAAAATGTCCAAAATTTCAAAACATTACTCGAAACCTTTTCAAAATAACTCAAACATGATCGGAAAGGACTCAAAATTGCCATAAACGACCTACGAGTCCAAAAAGAGTACAAATTGTGTTAAAAAGTTTAGAAAGCTAGTTAAAAAGTGGTTTTAAATACTTTGAAACGTGTCCAAAACTACACAAAAATGATCCAGAAGGACTCAGAATTGCTCAACATGACTCGAAACTTGAAATGAAATGAGTTGAAAACTGTCAAAACTGAACTAAATGTCTCCAAACTGACCTGAAACTTGACAAAAATGAGTTAAAATTGTGTGAAATGCTTTGAAACGTGTTAAAAGTGATCAAACAGTGAAACCAGCAGCAGGTGTAAAGTCACAAACAGCATCTCTATGTGTCGCTTTAATAGATTTAATTGATTTATTTCTCTGTTTAATAATTTATTTCCATATTTAAGTCTATTCAATCAATGTCTTCATATGTAATTATGATGAGTTTTGTCCTTTCTAATCGTTCTTTTATCGCTCGTCTCGTCCTTTTAACTCTGACTGATCGTATCTCTGCTGTTTCCTCGTCACAGCGTTTATCTACGTTTCCTGTTTTACTGACTTGTTTCTCTACAGCGTGACGTTCGTGTCGTTTTCTTGCCGTTCTGTTCGTCTGTGGAGCAGTTTGTGTTCCATCTCTGTGTTCATACCGTCTGATGGATTTATTGATTAACTAATAAAGTCGGGCTCATCTGTTGCCGCTGCATCGCGTCAATGAAACACCTCCTGACCTTTTACTGACACCTGACTGACAGGTGAGGTTCTGCTGGGAAACGTTTTGTTCAAAACGACATGAATCTTGTGTGAATAGATTTTAAACTTTAGCCTTTAGTGACTCACACGTCTCTGGATGATTAGAAAATCACCTGAAATGACTAAAACTGGCCCAAATCCTGGAAATTTGTCTAAGACTAGAAAAACTGTCCAAACAGACAATTTGTCGTATGTTCCAACATAACAATCCTCCGCTGTTCTATTTCCTGCATAGAACTGGAGCTACGTCGGACTAGAAGCTGTTGAATCACTGAAAAATGATCCCAAATGACCAAAATCGTCCCAAAAATGACTTGAAATTTGTCAGAAATGACTCAGAATCTGTCCACAATGCATCAGACGGGTCTAAATGATCAGAAGATAAGACAGAACGACTCAAACGGGTCTAAAGTTTAAAGAAATGTTGGTCCATGACCCATCATGTCATATCCGTACATATCCACATCCATCAATCTGTCTTTGCTTTTAGCCTCATTATACCTTGTAAGTCTGGTCCTGCTGCCTTTCCTTCAGCTGCTCTAACACGTGAATTTCTATATAATAATGTTTTAGAATGCTTTAAAACTTGCCCAAAATGACTCAAGCATGGTCTTAACAGACTCAAAATTGCCCAAAATGACCTGAAACCTGTACGAAATGAGTTAAAAACTGTCTAAAATCCTTTAAAACTTGATCGAAACGACTCAAAAATCATCCTAATATACACACAATTGCACAAATTGAGATTCTAAAATGAGTTAAAAGCTGTTCAGAATGTTTTAAAACGTCTAATATGACATGAAATTGCTCACAATGCCTTAAAAATTGTCCAAAATGAGTCGAACATGGTCTTAACGGACTCAAAATTGCCCAAAATGACCTGAAACCTGTACAAAATGAGCTAAAAACTGTCCAAAATCCTTTGAAACGTGTCTAAAATGACACAAAGTCGCTCAAAATGCCTTAAAACATGTCCAAAATGAGCCAAAAACTGTCCAACAGGCTTTGAAACTTGTTTAAAATGACTCAAAAATCATCCTAATGTACACAAAATTACACAAATCAGGTCAAAACTTGTCTAAAATGAGTTAAAAGCTGTTTAGAATGTTTTGAAACTTAAACAAAATGACTTAAGCATCGTATTAATGAACATAAAAGTGCCCAAAATGACCCAAAACTCATCCAAAATGAGCTGAAATCTGTCTAAAATGATTTGAAACGTCTAATATGACATAAAATTGCTCAAAATGCCTCAAAACTGTCCTAAAAGGACTCAAACATCATTTTTATGGACTCAATATTGCCCAAAATGACCCACAAGTCGTCCAAATTGAGCTAAAAACTGCCCAACAGGCTTTGAAACTTGGAGAATCCACCGGTTTGATTCCTAAACTCATCACATCTTTGTGCTTTTTTTCTCACTTTAACTTCACTGCAGCTCAGAAAGGCCACCAGAGGAAGCACAAAGAGGCCGAGGCGGCTGCAGTTTGTCAAATTAAAGCCACTTCATTTGACAAAGTGGGAGCGTCGGAGCTGAATATTAACTTGAGACGAGCTCGGACTCGTCGGTGGAGTGTGTCGGCTGTGACTGAAGCCAAGTGAAAAAGGAAACGATATGAAACCCAGTAATCCTGGATGCTCGTTAATATCCTGTTTCTACATGTGATGCACGTTTTCTTTCTCCATCTGTTTATCTGTCACGGGCAGCACTTCGTTTTTAGCTCTTTTTTGTTTGTTTCGGTCCAGCTTTCATATTTTCTCTGCATTTCTTGCGGATGTGCATTGATTTTGAATTATTTTTGCCTTCAGACCAACTTGTCTCCTGAATAAAACGTGTGAAAACGACCCGGTTTCTCAGATAAACCTGCGTTTGGAAGCTGCTCGCTGTGCAACGAGCTGCGTGCAGGAATCCTGAAGCTGCGATAAATCAGAGTGAATGGAAAGGAGGTGGAGACGGAGAGAGGCTGCAGGCTGAACTCCGTCTAAATGTGAGTTTCAGGGGCAGAAAGCCGGCGTTACAAGGTCTGTGAAGGACAACAGAGACTCCAACCAGCTCGCAGCAGACTCACACTGCTGCTAATTAAATCATGTGAAGTTAATTATTCAGAAACGCTGACAAGGTCACGGAGGACGGAGCTGCGAAGCGGGTCGAGCGGAGGAGGAACGGGAGGAAGCCGGAGCGGCGCCGGGCCTGGTACCTCCGGGGCGATGTAGTCGGGCGTGCCGCAGAAGGTTCGGGTGGTGTCGCCCTCGAACATGCCCTCCCTGCACATCCCGAAGTCGGCGATCTTTATGTGGCCCTCGCTGTCGAGCAGCACGTTATCCAGCTTCAGATCCCTGAGCGAGGAGGAGACAGATCACACGGGGATGAATCATCTTGATAGATAACGTCTTTATCGCAGTCATTAGCCACAAAAGACGCGATAAATCTGAGCCGCACCTGTAGATGATGCCTTTGCTGTGCAGGAAGAAGAGGCCCACCGCTATCTCTGCTGCGTAGAACCTGCGGGAGGCAGACGGAGGAGGGACGGTCACGCCGGCGGCTTTCTCTTTCAGAGGATTGTTGGAGGTTTTTTAGCTAATTCAAACCAAGACGACGACAAGAGGAGAGGAGCCGGAGAGGCTGATGAAAGGCAGAGCAAGCGGTGAAGATGAAAGGCGGCGAGGACGAAGACAGAGGCATGGAAATGAGCAACGGGTCGGGATTAGTTTTAGATGATTGATCAAAGATTATTGATTAGATGAACGGCCGGGGGGAGGGAGAAGGCAGAGGGGAGATGAGATTGGTGGGAGGAGAAAGTCTCTGGAAAGAGAAGAGGGCTGCTGCTCCAGATGATGACTCGTTATGACGAACAAAGCTAAGAGGGCAGAGCGTAGAAAAGCAGAAGAAAGGCTGTGATTAAAGGACCAACGCTGTTTGAACTTCCCGACTATCTGGGTTTACGACATCAGGTCGCCTCTGTTGACTCAAAAACTGAGTTAGAAACTGTCCACAAGGACTCAAAAGTGCCCAAAATGACTTAAAACTAGACCAGAATGCGCAAAAAGCCAATTAAAAGGCTTTCAAACTTGTCCAAAATAATGCAAACATTGTCAAATAGTCAAAAATTGCCCGACATGACTTAAAACTGGATGCATTAAAAGCCAATTAAATGACTTAAACCTGTACAAAAAGTTACAAGCCATTTAAAATGCTTCGAAACATGCCCGAAAAGAGATAAAAAGCTGTTTAAAACTGTCTAAAAGAACTCAGAAGAGTTAAAGCCTGGTCCAAAGAAATCAAAATTGTCCAAATTGACTTGAAACCTGTCCAGCATGTATTAAAAACCAATTAAATGACTTGAAACCTGCCTAAAATTAGTTAAAAGCCATTTAAAGCCATTTAAAAGGCTTTGAAACGCATCGAATATGCTTGAAACATGTCTAAAAAGAGTTAAAAGCTGTTTAAAGGGTTGTAAACTTGTCCAAAAAGAGTTAAGATTATCTAAAAGAACTGAAAATGGCCCAAAATGCTTTAAAATCTGTCTAACATTAGTTTAAAACTGTCCAGAAGTACTTGAAATTGCCCAGATTCACTTAAAAACCTGTCCAAAATGAGTAAAAAGTAATTTAAAAGGCTTTCAGACTGGTCCAACAAGAGTTAAAAAATTGTCTAAAAGAGCTGAAAAGAATTGCCCAAACTGACCTGAAACTGGTTAAAAAAGAGTTAAAACCAGTTTAAAATGTTTTGACTCTGCCCAAAATTACTCAAAAATTACAGTAAAGGACTCAAAATGTCCCTAAATACCCTGAAACTTGTCCAAAATGAGATTTAATCCGTCTGAAATGTTTTGAAATTGGACTAAATTGAGATTAAAAACTGTCCAGAAGGACCCAGAACTGACACTAAATGATTGAAAGTTGAGCCAGAAGAGCCGGATGGAGGGACGATGGAGATGAAGGACGAGACGGTGTTTGGAAAGAAGAAGAGTTACTGCTGCTGGAGATGATGAGGAGGAGGAAGGACGGCTGAGATGAAGGACGTACGCTGCGTGGGCCTCTTTGAACTTCCCGACGATCTGGATGTGAAACATCAGGTCGCCTCCGTTGACGTATTCCATCACATAATACAGCCGGTCCTGCAGAAACACACACAAGCTCCACCAAATCACCTCTTGTCCAAATTAAAAAGCAATCTGCTGAAGGCCTCCTCCAGGACCCAGGACCTTGTTAAAGAAAGCAAAGCTAATTATTTCATTTATTAATCGAAATTTGCCCAACCTGGACGGAAACAGCTCCTGGGAGGACGGCGCAGCCAAAATGTCAGGCCGCTTTATGGACAATTTAATGAAAGTTATGAGGCTCATTTGGGACCTTGAACACTTTCTACACACTCAGACCTGCACACCTCAGCGTGGAGGAATCTACAGAGCAGCAGACGGCCCAAAGATGACCCAAAACCTGTTCAGAATCAGTTCAAAGCTGTTTGAAATGCTTTGAAACATGTGCAGAATGACTTAAACTAGTCCTAAATGACTCACAAGAGCACAAAATGACCCAAAACATGTTCAAAATATTCAAGAATTCCTCCTACTGTACATAAAATTGCTCAAACTGACTTGAAACTGATCTTAAATGTATTAAAGCTTGTTTAAAATGCTTTGAAACGTGTCTAAAATGACTGAAAAATTGTCCAAAATTAGTTGAAACTTGTCTAAAATGACCTAAAACTCCCTAACAGGCTTTGAAACGTGTCCTAAATGACTCATAGTTGCACAAAATGACCCCAAAATGCTCTGAAACTTGTCCCAAAGGATTCAGAAATCACCCCACCGTACACAAAATTACACAAATTAAGTTGAAACTTGTCTAAAATGAGTTATAAAAGCTGTTTAGAATGCTTTGAAACTTGTTCACGTGACTCAAACATGGTCCTTATGAACTTAAGATTGAAAAACTGAATTGAAAACATGTTCATAATGACTCAAAATTGTCCAAAATACTTTGAAACTTGCCACAAATGACTTGAAGCTTGTCTAAAATGAGCTAAAACGATCTAACAGGCTTTAAAACTGGTTCAAAATGACCCAAAACCTGCTCTGAAACCTGTCCAAAATGATTCAGAAATCACCCTAACAAACACAAAATCACACAAATTAAGTTGAAACTTGTCTAAAATTGGTTTGAATTGAACTGTTTAGAATGCTTTGAAACCTGTCTTAAAGCACTCAGAACCGGTCCGAATGGACTCAAAATAACCCAAAGTGAATTAAAATGTGTCCAAAATGAGCTAAAACTGTCCAACAGGCTTTAAAACGTGTTCAGAATGACTTAAAATTGACTTAAATGACTCATAATTGCTCAAAATGTTCCCCAAGTTGAATTGAAACTTGCCAAAAATTACTCAAAATTGTCCCGAACAACTTGGAGCTTCAGTCAAAAAGGATTTAAAATTGGTCAAATTGAGTTTAAATATGGTGAAAATTACAAAAAAATGTTCTAAATGACTTGTGATTGCCCAGAATAATCTACAAACTGATTTAAAAAAAGACAGAAGCTTGTCTCAGATGATTCACAACCGTACAAATAACTGATAAACTGCCCATAAGGCCTTGAAACGTGTCCAAAATGAATCAAATGGTCCTAAATGACTCGTGAGAGCCTGAAATGAAAGCTTGATGGACTCGTTACTGACAGGTCTGTGGGTTATTTCCACCCTCACCTCGGTCTGGAAGGCGCAGTACAGCGACGTGAGGAAGTGAGGCCTGGACGCCAGCGCCAGCACCCTCCTCTCCACCAGAGCGCTCTCCGTGTCCTCGTCCTGGAAGAGGACGTCCTTCTTCAGCACTTTGACGGCGAACAGACGCTCGCTGCCTCGTTCCTCCGCCAGCAGCACCTGAGCACAAACACACAGAGTCAGACAGGAAGCTTCAGCAAACGGCACAGAGCCACCAACAAACCAACCGAGTATTTATAGTCGGCGCTGTCTGCCAGGAGGACGGAACAGAGCAGCTCAGAAACTCTTTAAACTCCACGTTCTCTTTGGCAAAACTTCTCAACAAACCAGCGGCTCCTGAACGCGGCGCTCCGTCAGCCTCCCCAACACCACCATGAACGCTCTGCCGCGGCTTTTTAGGTCATTGTGTTATGAGAGACGAGGAATCTAGTTCAAAAACTTGTCCCAAATTAGTGAAACATGGTCTGAAATGCCTTGAAACTGCTCCAAAATTATTAAAAGCTGCTAAAAACCTGCATCAAACCTGCAGCGTTCACAGTTCAATGATCAGCCAGGTTCCAAAACACAACCCTGAAAGTTAAAGCTGTCCAGGAGGACTCAGAATGACCAAAACGTGTCCGAAATGAGTTAAAAACCGGTCCAAAGTAAATCCAAAACCATCCTGATGGACTCTAAAGTGGCCAAATTGAGGTGAAACAAGTTCTAAAGGATTCAAATATGGTCAAAAAGGACTCAAAACTGCCTGAGACGACCCAAAAC